TAAAAATTTTTTTTTTTTTTTTTTTTTTTTTTGTCTTTTTTCGTGTCCGGCAACGGATCGCAACCCTCAGTGTTGCGCCCATACTGGACCGGGACCGGCAACGGGATTGCAAACCTCGGTGCTGCGCCCGCACCTCGCTCAGCCAGTAAGCGGGAACCGGTCTGTATGTGGGTTCCGAACCCTCGGCAGGAGTGCCACCGCACTCCCAAGCGGCGTACTGTAGCAGTGCGCCACCAGGCCGGCCCAAGACCATGAAATCTTATCTATTCCAGAGATTCAAATAAAACAGCTAAATTGAAAGAAGAAATAGAAAGACCAGAGTAATCATGGTTTTAGCTGTCTTCTAGTATTTTAGAACCTGGAAATATCTACATTAATTCAGACAATAAAAATAAAACTATTGGGAAGGAAAACACACAACAAAAGGTCTTGGAAGTTCATGTGGTTTCATTTTTTTTTTTATTAAAAGGTGACCGGTAAGGGGCTCTTAACCCTTGACTTGGTGTTGTCAGCACCACGCTCAGCCAGCGAGCCAACCAGCCATCCCTATATGGGATCCGAACCCGGGGCCTTGGTGCCATCAGCACCGCACTCTCCCGAGTGAGCCACGGGCTGGCCCTGGTTTCATTTTAAAACTGGAGAGCTACTCAGGAAGTAATAGAAAAAAGAGCATTTTAAATCATCATCAATTCCACAAGGTCCTGCCAGGAATGATTTTATAAAATAATTCACTTTATACTGGAAAGCAAGAATTTTGCAGCTAAAATATTCTACCAAATTAGTATCCTGCCTAATCCCTTCTCTTAAAATTAATTTCAATGAAGCTGATCTACAAGTTACACTCATAGCGTTTATTACTGTAGTCTTAACAGTTTGATAAAACTTGCCATTTACTTTGGCATATTTTGATTAAAATTTTATGGTAAATAATGTATTTGCAACAGTGGAAACTTCTGTTTGTGGTAGGGTACCATAGTAGTTAAGAGTGGGAGCTCCAGCATACAAATTCCAGCGTTACAAAGTATCTGTTGTACGACCTGGGGCAAGTTACCTAACTCCATTAAAACTAAGTTTCTATATTTGTAAAATAGGGATAACAATAACAATCTGTTTCACAGGTTTTTTGGTGAGGATTAAAAAAAGATGATCCATCCAAAGTGCTTAGCACAGTGCCTGGCACATGTCTGGTGTTCAATAAATGTTAATCATTATTTTTATATTACTGAAGCAGAGAGAAATAGTAGGCAAAACAAAAGTTAAGCAACAGTGTTAAATATTAGCGACAACAATGTAAATGCAGTTTAAAATAATAGCTACTAAATATCAATTGTTCATCTGCAAGAGTAAATTTGCATGTTAAAGTTGATGATACTGTATAGGCTATATACATTTGAACTATTTTCATGCCAGTCATGAGTCTGTACACATCAAGACAGATATCAAACAGGTTTACATTAAACCAAATTTCCTGTTGATAGGTACCTCTGTAGACAAATATATATTGCTTTGCATGTTTAAAAAAATAAAAGATTGTTCTTAAATAGTTCTTTTTTTCTGGTTAAGGCTGGACAAACAAGGAACAAAGTGACCCAAACCACAGAAAGGGGCTTAGATTATGAAAGTTAGTAATAAGGTAAACAAAGTATGACTTTAACAAATATATGTGTGCACGCACGCATGCTATAATTACCCAAGGGGAAAAATATGGGTAGAAAAAAGTCTGGTAGGTAATTATCAAAATATTGCCAATAGCTGTGGTGGTATTACTATAATTAAGAGTAATTTTTCTTTTCCCAATTTTCAAAGTACTTTGCAATGTAGTTATATTTTAAATTTCACACATTTCTTTTTATTGTAAAATATGATAGCTTCTGACAACCAAGCAAACAGATTTTTAAGACTGGAGAAAAACACAAGTAATAAATTCTAGACTCTAATTCATAAGCATAATATCAATTCTTAGCTTCTCTTGAGAGAATCTTCCGGTTGGCACAGACAGTAAATATAAGTTTGTGGATTCCCATCCTTTGACAGATGATCATCCATTTCAAACCATAAAAGTATAGAAATAATACAGTAGAACACTTGTCTTAAATGCTGCCCTTGCTTAGGTTAGGCTGAAAAACATGTTTTACATTAGGTGGCAGGAATGGGTTATAATGGGGTCTGAACAAGTTTTTAGTACTTTCATGGCAAAAGACTAAGAGGTAGATAGAAGAAGATCTCGTAAAGTACACAGACAAATTAGCCGGAATAGAGAATTTATAACAGTCCCAACCTGGAGTACAATCTCCTGTCATTGCCCCTCACCACCAGTATATCCTTTTTCTCTAAACTTTCCACCAACAATCAGCATCTCAGGAATTTCCCCCCAACCTCCCAAAAAAGGTATGAAATTAGAAGCCATTTAAATGGTAGTCTGTAGGATTTGCTTTAAAATAATTCAGAGGTGGAGTAATAGGTGGGAGTATAGAAGAAAAGATTGGCTTTGACTGTTGAAGCTGGGTGAATAATACATGGAGGATCATTACCCTTTCTCAACTTTTTATTATAAAAACATTCAAGCATCACAAAAGTTTTTTAAAAATGGCAGCTGACTTTTCAATAGTCTGTTCACCATTTTGAAAGAGGCAAGAGAGTGGGTAATAAATTGAAAGGAATCACAGTAACAACTATAATAGTTAATACTCATGTGAGCTGACCTGTTAGCTCAGTTGGTTAGAGTGTGGTGTTGATAACATCAAGGTCCAGGGTTCAATCCCTGTACCAGCCAATTGCCAAAACAAAACAAAAAAACAACTTATAAAGCACTATACATGCCAGGCTATATTCTAAGAAATATAAAATATGTATATTATATATATATATATATATATATATATATATACATACACAAACTCATTTAATAAAAACCACTAAATTACACACTCAAATGGTGAATTTCAAGTTATGTGAATTGTATCTCAATTTAAAAAGCTGAAAAAAAATGACAGGGATAGAGAAAAAATACTTGAAAGAAGGAAATGGTCAAGTTAAAAAGTATAATGTGTAGGGCCGGCCCAGTGGTGCACTGTTACAGTGCACTGCTTGGGGGTGCGGCGGCGCTCCCGCCAAGGGTTCGGATCCCACATACAGACCGGTTCCCGCTCACTGGCTGAGCGAGGTGTGGCGCAACACCGAGGTTTGCGATCCCGTTGCCGGTCCCGGTCTGGTAAGGGCGCGACACTGAGGGTTGCGATCCGTTGCCGGACACGAAAAAAAAAAAAAAGTATAATGTGTAGGAATTAAAAGGAAAATGAGAAGGAAAAAATATTAATCAAGTATTTCAGAGTACTCTAGTTTAGGCCAAAAAGAAACTATACTCTGATTAGGAAATTTAATTCTTCTTGAAGGAATTTGGATGAGATAAGAGTCTCATTTATGTTAAGGATAGTGTAGTGGATTGAATTATGTCCCTCCAAAACTCACTGAAGCTTGAATTGTGTCCCCCAATTTTTATGCATAAGAAACTTAGCCCCCACTGTGACTGTAAAGAGGGTGGAAAATTCTATTATGGTTAATTGTAAGGTGGGCTGTGAAGACATAATTGGATTGTAGGACCCTGCAGTAG